GGGCCACACTCTTCAACTATATTAAATAAAGCAACATACAATTGGCAGAAACTTTATTTATCGAAAATGCCTTAATAATATGATGCTTTTTTAATATTTCGTAAAATATATTTTAATTTGCAAATAAAGCAATTTGAATATCTTTATGTTTAAGGTTATAACAAGTTTCAGCTAAGAACTGGCCAAAATTCCAATTTCATAAGCGTGATACAAAGCAATAAATTTAAATTTTCCGATATTAGAGACTCTTCAAGCCGTCGATAAAAATCTAGTTTTGAGTGTTTAAATAGGCAAAAATAAACTTTTTCCGTAATCGATGAGTAGAATACCTACTACTCAAATCTTCTCAAGTTTGTTTACTGTTCTCCAGGGATTGCAGCTTCATCAACAAGCATTGTGTTAAAGGAATCTTCGTCTTAATCAAAAGCACGCATATTCCAGCCTGCACCCATCGTTTATAAAATTGTTATTTTATGTTTAAACTCCAGATCTACAGATCTGATGAGTGACGTAATCATCAGAAACCCTGAGCATTCTTACATGCTCAAGGTCCTTACCATAATAACCCGGATATTGGAGCAGAGTTTCATGATCCAATAATTAAACAACTAAAACTTATTGCAAATTAATTCATCAGCACACGCTACTTCACTCAATTCCATTCTGCTCCACTTGTTATTGCGATTACATTTCCAAACAAACCCCCTTGTGACACGACTTCCAGAAAATTTTTCTGTATATAAGTTACAGGTATATAAGTTATATAATTTCTCGTTTCTAATCTTGAAAGATTTTGGGGATTTATTCCCCTATTTTTTGTTTTCCTAACAATTGGCTTCTGCAGAGGGTTGGCGCCACAAAATCTAGTTTCAATGCAACATATCAGTTCCCAAGGCTGATATGCATTTGATTGGTGGAATTCCATTTCTAGGTTGTCTTTTTTTTTCGTAGTGTAATAATCTTTAATCAAACTATATTTTGTGTTTCATTTGTATGATTATTGATAAGGTAATTTTTAGATTAATATTTCTATATATTGAATATATAACATATGTTGTTTTGATTAATTGATATATATATATAACGCCCTGCCCATGTTATGTTGTGAGCACGATAACTGGAGAAATTTTGATTTGATTTTAACCGGCCGCGTGGGATATGCTGTAAGGATAGTAAACATCTCGTCGGAATTCGTAGATAGTCTATCCAGCTCAAAGAGGTGGAAATAGTCGGGGTTGAAATTTCATTTCCACCGAACACCCCTAACTTAAAGTAAATTTCAACCTATGCATGTTACCCTTTGTTGTAAAGCTCTCGTTATTTGCAGTCTCTCCTACCATCTTTTATTATTGTAACTCGAATCCTTATGAAAATAGAGGGCAAAATGTTATTTTCCTTATATCTTCAGACTCAAGGAATCTAGCTTTGCCGTCCGGCTTGACGACGGGGATATTTTTGAAGGCTTTGGTGCTGAAAATTAAAAGTTACAACATCTATTTCGGCATCATCGAGAGTCAATATCTATTCACTCTCTGTCATTGTCTTCCAGTCCCATGTCCATCCAACCGGTACAGGTACTGTAATGGTATCAGGCACGGGGGCATAGGGCGGCGTTCTGTCATTCTCTTCCGTGAAATCTATGTTGATAACATTTGTAATAGAAATTTTAATTAAAAGGAAAATAAATCAAAAGAAACAAAAAGTAAACAATAGTAATAATGAAAAATAATGAATAAATAAAATAATGAAAAACTTGAAGAGAAAGTTTTCAATTTTATATTTATAAAATTTTAATAAACATCAAGGTAAAATGATTCAATTTCTGCTGCACCTTTTACATTTAAGACAATGAAATTCAATAATAAAAAATATTGAAAAATATAATAAAAATTAAAGAAGGAATAAATAAGACCATGAAAAAATAAAAAATATATAATTTTCAGCTGTTAGAAACTTGATGCAAACCAGAGTCATTCAATTTCCATTATAGAACAGACACATGTCAGAAAACACATAATAAATTTATGAAACACGCAGAGAACGGGAAAATATAAAACTCGACCACAAAATGTAAAGCGTCATCTGTAACCTACAAATAATAACAAATTTCATTTACATAACACTTAATCATTTGCAAGTCACTTCGAATTGCATCCACCTATAAATATCCTAATACATTTATGATTTAAATTCATGAATTGACCGCACAAAACTTAATATGTGCTTAGCAACGATAAGAGAGATCCACAAAAACCTGCAAAGTATCTTACTATTTTATTCACTTTCTGGATCAGCTGCAGCATTACTGCCTAGATAACAAAAGTTGCTCATTTAGCATCAATATCTACAGCCATAAAATAACGATTCACAGTGCGCATTTACCATTTATTGCCTGGCGACAAATATCTATGCAGCTTTTGATGAAATTGATCGCATTCTAAATGACGCGTCGCGTTACAAAAATGTAAAGCGACGCCTGTAACATAAAAATAATAATCATTTTTCATTCACATAACGCTCATTCATTTGCAAGCCACTTCGAAATTCATCAATCTTTCAGAATTTCCAAATACATTTATAATTTAAATTCATCAAGTGACCTCACAAAACTCATTGTATGTGCAGAAACGTTAAGAGTGACTGACAGACAGCAGCAATGAACACTAGACAACTTCAGCATATCTTATGATAACATTCACTTTCTGAATCAGCTGCAGAATTATTGCCTAGATAACAAAAGTTGCTCATTAACACAATATCTGCAGCCATGAAATAATGATTCACGGTGCGCATTTACCATTTATTCCATGGAGACAAATATCTATGTAGTATTTGGTTTAAAAGATCGGATTCTAAATAACGCGTCGCGTTACAAAAATTTAAAGCGACGTCTGTAACATAAAAATAATAATAATTTTTCATTCACATAACGCTCATTCATTTGCAAGCCACTTCGAAATCCATCAATCTTTCAGAATTTCCAAATACATTTATAATTTAAATTCATCAAGTGACCTCACAAAACTCATTGTATGTGCAGAAACGTTAAGAGTGACTGACAGACAGCAGCAATGAACATCAGACAACTTCAGCATATCTTATGATAACATTCACTTTCTGAATCAGCTGTAGAATTATTGCCTAGATAACAAAAGTTGCTCATTTAGCACAATATCTACAGACATGAAATAATTATTCACGGTGCGCATTTACCATTTATTCCCTGGAGACAAATATCTATGTAGTTTTTAGTTTAAAAGATCCCATTCTGAAAAACGCGTCGCGTTACAAAAATGTAAAGCGACGCCTGTAACATAAAGTAACAATAATTTTTTATTTACATAATGCTCATTCATTTGCAAACCACTTCGAAATTTATCAACCTTCCAGGATTTCCAAACACATGTATAATTTAAATTCATCAAGTGACCTCACAAAACTCATTGCATGTGCAGAAGCGTTAAGAGTGACTGACAGACAGCAGCAATGAATATCAGACAACTTCAGCATATCTTACGATAACATTCACCTTCTGGATCACCTGCAACATTCACTGCCTAGATAAGAAAAGTCGCTCATTTAGCATCAATATCCAAAGGCATGAAATTAAGATTCACCGTGTGTATGCAAAATTCAATCAAAGGAAACGAAGATCTACTTAGTGTTAATGAAAATGATCACGTTCTTCTCCAGAAAATGGGCATTATGTGAGCCACACCCAGATATCACGCATGATTTCCTCGGTGGGGTCTGGGCTTAAATGGACTCTGATGGATAAAAATCTCTCACTTAACGCTTTCGTCAGACGAGAAAAAGTGACTAATTGCTTTACCATACATTTAGGAAGCCTTAAGTTGCACGAATCTTTAATTCATAGCTGATGTGGGCAAAGGAGGGATAGTGGTTGGTAGAAGGGTTGCGTTTCTAGAAATAAAATACATCTTTCTTCTAGGTATTAACCGCTTAACTTAACAGCCCGTGCATCGAATTATCGAAATTTTAGTCTTAAAAACTAAAATTGAATCATTAATTAGCTTTATAATTTGACACAAAAAATATGTAGAATCCATAAACATCTTAAGTATCCTATGCCTTCTTAGATGAATGAAAACGACAGCCCCTTTCCAAAACAGGAGGGGGTCATCTTATTAGATAGCAAAGAAAACTATTTAGTTAAGTGGTTAAAATAATTCGGACAGTAAGTTTTAAAATTGGAAGCAATTTTTTAGTGAATCAAGACTTTTAAGTTCTTCTTTTTGTTAAATTTTTACTTTGTTTTGCAGAAATTTACTTGAAGGTAAAGTAAATAATTGTTCTGTTGATTTCTATATTAGGGATAAAACGTGAGGGTATCTTGAATTCAAGAATCTTTTTAGTTTTTTCAATATGTTTTAAATTTTTGCTTCCAAATAAAAATTTATGAATAAAAGTAATTATTAAATATGTCCATTTCTGTAAAGTAGCAGTTTTAAATAAAGTGCGCTCCCTCCAAATTATTTTAGCATTTTAATGAGCATAGAAATTATTTCTAATAAATTTTTAAATTTTTTCCTTTTTTGTCGATAAAGTGATTACAATAAAGCACTGAAAGTACTGTCGCAAAACGACGTATAAATGAAAAGACGTATAATCTAAATTTTAATAACAACTTTGATTTTTAGAAATGTAATAAATTACACTTATATAAATTCATATAAAAGTAATAATTTTCAAGTTTTTAAGATAGTACTAATAAATTAGTACATAGTATTGAAAACACTATGACGTTTTAAAATTAATTATCATTGTAACATGAGACTAGAGGAATAGCCGTGGTAATATCAAAAATACAATTTATTTGGCTATTTACAAAAGAAGTCGTTGATTCGTCCTGAAAATTTCAAGAACTGAACTTTCAAGTCAATTATATTTCAACTTGAAATATAAATCTGTGGCGCACCGTGCTACTCCATCTTACTCGGATGTATATTAGCTAATATCCTCCTCCGGACATTGGGAGTTCCTATTGTCTAGTGGTTAGGATGTTCGGCTCGGGACCCAAAGGTCCCCGGCTCTATACCGCCGCCAAAGTGGTGACTCGCGGACAAAGAACACGCAATAACAACTTTCAGTCCCACTAATAGATGGCAGCACCAAAAATAAGATCAATTCCATCTTCTGCTACATTCACCAGTTGGCAGCAATACAACACCTACAGAACGCCGCCCCATGTCCTTGTACCTAATGCCATTACGGCAACCGAAGCCGTTGGATGGACATGGGACAAAATAAATCCCACTACAACACCTACAGCAACGCAACTCTCCCAATTCAAAGTCTATGACACATTTCGTAGCACGAAATCTGTGACGCATTTCACAGCACGAAAAGTCTATGACCATTTTCATAGCGCAAAGCCTGCACGTTTCTGGGCAGCAATCTGCGTATATGTATGCAGCCCATCGCTTCCTTGATATTCAGATAATATCAAACAAGCTGGGGGTTGCCCCTGTGGCGCACCGTGCTACGCCATCTTACTCTAATGTATATTAGCCAATATCCAAATCCGGACATTGGGAATTCCTTTTGTCTAGTGGTTAAGATGTTCAAATCGGAACCCAAAGGTCCCAGGTTCTATACCGCCGCCAAAAATCAATCACAACCATTCACATTACATGCAGTCTGTGCCTCGATAACAGAGCATCTCAAAATAATTGACAAATCCAGCTTAGCTCACTATTTGTAATTTAAGACTGAAGCCTGGAAACAGATTCGTTACTGTCTTAATACCTCCCTCAAGGGAAAACTTTTCGGAGGTTCTTAAGAAGTAAAGTTCATCAAGTCCTTTGAATAAGCATGACGGAATCTTACCATCATGGAAATAACATTTAAAAATACAATTTCAAAAGAAAGTACTAAACATAACATTTAAATAGATGGAAAGATGACAATACATTTTCGGATCTCTTGTACTTGAAAATTGCATGTTTAGTTTGTTTTAAACCAGACATCAAAATGCTAAAATATTGCCCGTTTCTTTGCAACTGAAATAAGTGCATGAGTGCAAAATGAATAAATTCAAATTATAGTAACATAGCATTATTAAAACCAGGAGGCACTAATCACATAAAAACACTTTAAATCTGTTACCAATCTTTAATCTGTAACTCCGTAATGGAGGAAGTCAATGGCATTTCCGGGAATCTATTACAAATTGACGCTCTTTACTTGAGCTCGAATTCTTCGAATCACCAGAGGAAATTCAAACTACAATTAACTGGAAACTCCATCCCACCGCTTGCCACCATTTAAAAGTCCAGACTGTATCATCAGACAAAATAAATACCCTTTGCAATATCAAAAATATAATTTATTTGGCTATTTACGAAAGAAGTCGTCGAGTCGCCCTGAAAATTTGAAATCTTAAACTTTCAAGCTTCAAATATAAATCAATCACAATCATTCACATTACGTGCAGTCTCTTCCTCGAGAACAAAACATCTCAAAATAATTGGCAAAGCAAGTTTAGCTCAGTATTTGAAATATAAGATAGGAGCCTGAAAACAGTTTCCTTACATCATAAAAGTGGAAAAGTCGTACATTTATGACATATCTTGAGTACTAATTATGCATTTCTTATTTTATAAGATTTATAGCATGCGTTTAATTTAAAAAATCTTTAATCGTCATCCGACGTGCTGATTGTCTTGAATATTAAGTTCAGCTTTATGAATCAAATTAAGGTCATTGAATTCTTTTTCCACTCATGTTTGGCCAAACAAAATAAAATCGAAGTTTTTCAATGCAGTCCATTGAGTCTTTAAAGGAATATGGAATAATTTTGCCATATTCTTCTTCATCTTCGGTTAAATTAGCACTAGGCAATTTGTCTTCTATGAATTCATCAATAGTGAAGAATTCCGAAATCATGATATGGACCCAGTTTACATAATAAAAAGGAATGAAATTTCACATTTTAGAAAGGGGTAAACGACGTATAAAAAAAGCTTTGCGTCGTCTTAACTAAATACTTTATCATTACAATGGATAGAAATGAATCGGGAATATAATAAAATGACCTATAAACGTAAACGACGTATAAGTGAGAAACGTATAAAAGGTGCTTTACTGTAATTTACTAAATATGAAAAAATATCCCAAATTTACAAATAATATCGTCGTCGTTCAGATAAAAGTCACTAAGCTCAAAACTATAGTTTAAAGATGTGGTCTGTGTAAACTTGATTAATTTTGAGTCGCTATGATAAATAGGAGAAATAATTTTACAGATTTCTAGCTCCTACGGTTGACTAACTGATGTTTATAAAACAGGTTTCAATCACGAAATATTTCGTTGCAAATTTTTAATTGGTTGCATTAATCTGTCAAGGTTTTTGCAAACTTAATGACTTCTGCCTGAACGACGACGATATAACATATTGTTACAAACATGGGAAGTCGCTTCCCAGCAATGTGAATCTTATGGTTGGGAAGAGAGTTTTACAGGGGTAAGTATGGGAGGACTGGCAGCAGCCAGGCATGGACTCCTGACCTTGGCGAACACCTTGGCGAGAAATTTGGCGACGAAATATGTGATCTCAAAGGTGCTGGAATTTTCTCGATATATCTATTAGGAAAGGAGATACTCTTGAATGTACTAGATGATTCCATGTGACGTCACGGCCTGCCATTGGAGACGCTTGGAGGATAAGGAGTGCTCTTGGATCACGGAGTGAGTGGATGTTGATCGACTTTGAACGTTAAAATCGCCTTGGAGTGCGAAAGTCTTTGGAATCTCTCTTTGGAGTTCTATCCGCTGTGCAAGCTAGTAAGCTGTTAGACGCCGAGCGGTATTGAGTAGTGGAATGTTGATCGACTGGAACGACTTTGGAGTTTCGTCTGTAGCGCGAGCTAGAAAACTGGTGAACTGAGTGCTATTGAAAGTGCTGTTATTGTCTTTATTAGTGATATGCTGACTGTTTGTGTCGCTAAATCTCTAAGAACAGAACTGTCATTATCTGTGAATTGTTGTCTGTTTACGTTGCTAATCTGTGCAAGACCTATTGTTTCCTGTTACCTGTGCTACGTGTTTTCCTGCATATTTGTGAATAATCCTTCATTCTCCATTATCCTGCGTGTTGGACTGTTTACACCATACACCCACAGAACGATTTTTTCTTATAATATAAGCGCAAAACTGCAAAAATTGTAAAATTACGAATTGAAATTACGTAAATCTTCGCTTAACGCGCAACACTACCTATCTCAATTTTTTGAAATTTCAAAGAGGAAGAAAAACCTTAATTTTTCGCAACCAATAACGAATATTTCCGATTTTTTTTATTATCTGATATGAACATGAGTCCGCATTCTCCTACCAGAAGTGAAAACAGATTCAGAAATATTCGTTATTGTTTGCGAAAAATTCAGTTTTTTGCTTCCTCTTTGAAATTTCAAAAAATTGAGATAGGTGGTGGTGTTTGTTAGGAGACTAAATATTATACATATAAAAGAGAAATACAATGGAAAATAAGCTTATTTTCGTTTCGATGATAAGCTGCATCATCGAGAAGAAGTAAAATACAGGTAATAAAATCACAAAATGAAATAAAATGAAAAAAGAGATCTAAGAAAGAAGAAATTAAGGAAAATATCATAAATTATTCTTCATCAGGACGAGAAATATCTCATGATATTCAGAATACTGTTCTTTTACATTTTATCGTATCTTTGTGTGCGTTTTTAATATTATATTTATACATGTATGTAATCATTAACTAATACCGTATGTCGCCCACGAAAATGTAACCGTTAGTGAAATTCACCAAAGTAAAGAAGAGAGGAGAATAAAAATAGAAAGCTGACTGAATCAGTCAATTGATTTAGTTTTTTGAGAAAATTTATTTATTCACTAATAATTATAGATCAGCGATTCTTTTAAATATTGTTTTGTGAATTGTAAAATGGAATTTGCCATTATATAACTGCTTAGTAATAAACGGGCAAAATGTATGCTGTTGTGTCTCGTTGAAAAAAGTAAAATTGTAATATTGAATTTCCCATTATATATCTGCTTAGTTATACACGGGGAAAGTGCATGCTTGTGTTTCTTGTAAACGAAATACTAATAAATTTATGTATCGACGAGCCAGACTATTCCTTTTTAAGTAATTGTTTGGTAAGATTTCGATAAATTCCCTTGGGATTTCTGATATGTCCTTTAACATAGCCTGTTATCAGCGTCTTAAAAGCACTTAGAAGATGCTTTACAACAGAGCAATTATTAATAAGCTCAAAAATATTTGTATATGTTCCATCACATAAATTCGTAAAAATAGTAAACGTTTATTTGATATATGAGAGTTTATAGATTTGTAGTCATTTCAACAGGAAAAAAGTATTATTTTTTGAAGACCATACTTATATAAAAACTAAGAATTCTAATAGGAATAGATATTGAATTTTATGCCAAAAGAATGGGAAAAGGAATATCATATTAACTTTATTACAAATACTATTCTGAGAAGAGGGAAAATAATCTTGACTCTTTAAATTTAGCAAACGACCCCCCAAACTCATAGAATTCGTGTAACTTGTAATACAACCTCTATCTTTCTAGTGTGTGATTAAATCAGTCTAATATTTTTACTCAATTTTTTTCTCGCGTCGAGTATATGGTTTCCTTGTTTTGTTGAATTAATGAGTATATATTCTTAGAATTATATTCTAGGAATGCATTTCAGCGAAAAATAAAGACAAAAAATACATGAAAAACTTACATTTTCAGGAAAAAATATTATAAAGTAAAATGTTATTCTGTAATTTAATAAATAGATTTAGGTTTTAGTGTTGCAAGTCATTCTCAAAATATTAATAGAATTTAGTAATATATTACTCTTTTATTATTAAGAAAGTTTCATATTACTTTATGTTCTATTTTCTAAATACTGTATATTCGAATATCAGTTGCAAATGTTCATAGAATTTCTGCTTTTAACAGGCTACATATTCTATTCCTTATCTAGATCAAATCATTTCATTGCTGTCTCTTGACATTTTTAATTCAGAATATTTATAATGGTCAATGAAAAATTTCA